AAATGAAAAGAAATTATAACATAGCGCGCGCGCTGGTCCTATCTAATTCCTATTGCGTCAACATGAACAAAATCTTTATGTACGCACGGCCGTGCTCAATAAAATGACGTGTGCAGTTTCAAAATAGCTGCAAAATTTCTGTCGTGTGAGTTCCTTAAGTTAAAGTTTCGGAAAGCGATAATAGTAAATCGAAGGCCAACCAAACTTTTCTTTGGCTTTCGACCTTCCCGCAAGTAATCAAGCCAACAAGCACTATACGAAAGCGAAACACAACAGGCCCGTTTCCCGAATTTATCAGAACAGGAGCTGGAGCAAATTTTAGCTGAAAGACATTCAGCAAGAACTAAGAAGACTACAAATTGGATTGTGGCGACTTTTAAAGGTAAACGTCTCTGTTGATGACGTTTTTTTTGGTTACATTTGTAATTACTACCGAAAACCATTTAATTACAAAATTAACAAAACAATCGGAGACGCCAACATTTTCGGGCAACTTTCATTTCAAACACATTACAAAAACGTCATTCAGCGCTCAAATTGTTTTCGTATGTTATAAAAGAATTGTTTCATGCTTTTAGCTGTGGGTCTATCGAGTTATGGATGCTCTTGGGAAGTTTGGAGAGCACTCAAGAAGCTAGAGTTGCTCTCGGCTGCGCCTCGAGCAACTCTTGCGCTTCTCTCGTGCTCTCCAAACTCCCCGCGTGCATCCATAACTCGATAGACGCACGCTAAGCATGAAACAATTCTTAAAGATAATATTAAGAAGTGTAAGACCCTCAAAGTATATAATGGTACCAGCAAAATCACGTGTTCAATATTACATGCACTAAAGTACACGTATATGTTCGATTTAAAAGCAGAAAATATGCGAGGGACGGTTAAGAAACCCGTACAAAGAGAAAAAAACCTGTTCTTAATAAGTTGACCACGGACATGAATCATGACGATTTTGCCCATGGTTTCACCGGCGATGTTACAACATGAAAATGAATAAATTTACCAAGCCTTCGGCCGTACAAAAGATTATAATTCTCTAAATATTTCCCTTTAACCGATTTTAAAGCCTTTCGAAGAGGTTGAGGATAAACCCTGAAAAATTTATGGTGTATATACGATAAATCTTTCTTACCGTTCGCTCTTTGAAGTGCATTTTCCGGTCGCTGAAAGTAACCTGGCATGATTGAAACACGCTGTCTCTTTCCTACGTCGTTAGGCAAGAATCAAAGAGGCGCGAACTGGGTTATGGTCTGGATTTTGCCTCGTTTTCAAAACACGTTCCCTGCACGCGCGAACACTCGCGACAGAGGCGCGTGTTCCTCTTACGTGACATAGGACTTCACCATAAAGCACAAAAAGTAATAAATTTTATAAAGATAAAAACAAAGGATTGAAACAGAGCGACGTCCGAGAGCTATACCCCATTCCTCCACTTGCGACAGAGGCACGTGTTTCCACTTACGTGACATAGGTCATCACCCAAAAAGCACAAAAAGTAATAAATTTTCACAAAGATAAAACAAGGATTGAAACAAAGGGACGTCCGAGAGCAATATCCCATTTCTTCACCCACATAAAATGCATTGATGATCACTGAAGATCTTGGGAAAGTCTCAAGCACAGGGAAGAAAATCAACCCGGACCCTGGAATCAATGCTTGGTGTGTCCTGTGGCATGACTGAAAAAATCGCTTTGATCAGACCAAAAATTAACAAAGCGCGCTTTCTGCCATTTTCAGGTAAAAGGTTTGGACAAAACTCTTTGGTCAAGCATTGGTTGAGGAAAAAAATTCGATTTCCGGCTGCCTTACCTGCCTCAAAGGACACAACTGTCAAACGTCAGGCATGCGCGAGAGGATCAATTTGGGCGGTCCATGCGCCAATTTCCCGCGCAAAACGTCAAAGAAAAACGTCACTAACTACCACTGTTCCGCAAAATAAGTGAAGAATAATTTAAACTTTCATAGAAATCTGTAAAAGAAAACAAAAGTAGGGAAAAGGGAAACTCTCTTTTTTTCTAACGCAAAGCTTTTTCAAGTACGGGTATCCCGTTGATTTATTATTCTGTTTTGAACTTTACCAGAGTACGCCGACGGTTGAACGCTGTGTTCCTCGAAAGTGCCTGTGTTTAAACTGTTATCAAGAAGTCAAGCAGCAACTCCCTTAACATTTTGTATATCAAACAGGGAATTCACTCAAATCGTCAAGGTGCTAAGTGAAAGCCCAAACTATCTACAAGTTGTCCTTCTAGCTTTGGATGAATGGAAGTACGAAACATCTTATGTCCCTACTCATATGTGTACAGTGTGAACGTAGCTTTACATTTTCGGGATTTTTGAGGTAAGAAAATTCTGGTGAGTAGGGTTTTAAAAAATGATACGTTTGTAAATTTCTACGATGAGCAAATTAAATGTACCAAAATGTTTGTACTGTAGGTAAAAAAAAGTCTTCCATATTCGGTTTAACAAATCTGTCCAATAGCTGCATAAACAGAGGGTGATTAAGTTGAGATCGCGAAAATTACATTCGCTCAAAAGTGACCAACAAGGGGGTCAATAATTGGTCACAGAATAGACTATAATGGGGTAGTGGCAAATGCCCAGCAGAAATTGACCAAATTACCCTCCTCCGCGCATGACGTCACGCCGGATTCTATCTGCATACCTGGCAGGGCAGCGCTGCTGAAAGTAAGGTATACCCTCCGATCAGGGCCTGACCATCTTAGAGGGCGTTTCTTTTTCGTCATCACTCGGTGGTCTGCCCCAAAATAAAGCAATATTTGCCGAGGTCTCAACTGGTGCTGGTTACAAAATAGATGATTCTCATATATCTTATTAACCAAGCGCGAGGGCCTTACTGGGAGAATATCGGCCCGAGGTCTTGACAGTGCGGACCGAGCGCAGCGAGGTCCGTACAATAAAGACTGAGGGCCGATATTCTCCCAGTACGGTCCCGAGCAAGCTTGGTTAATAAGAGATTTATTATACGACTGAAGTTCAAAGGGACACAAGTGCGGTATCATTCGGGACCATTCGGGACAGTGCCCGGTCCAATACTTAGAGAATATTGGACCGGCAATTGAGCATTTTGATTGGTTGATTTTAGTTATTGGCCCTCTGACTGCCCCAGTCGTGTAATAATAATTAGTAATGCATTGAGTTATACATACCATATTGTTGTCTCGAATAAGCACCTACGCTCTTATAAGCTCCCTCGCTTGACTAAGCGCCCAGACCTTAGACCATAACGTCAAACAGGCACCCCTCTGGAATATGTGCCCTCCTCCTCCTCCTTCCTTTTCTTAAACTTTCTTCAACTAAATGGGAATGCGTACAGGAGCTTAGTTTCTTTTCCGTTAAGCCATTTTCAGTTATTATTATTTCCATATCGACCTTACTTCTTCGAAGATAACATTGTAGTTTTTGTTTTTCTGTTAAAGATTTAGCCAAAGTAAAGTTAATGTAACAGTAGTTGATAGGAAAATGTAATAAAGCGCTCCACCCTAAATTAAGCGCCCTCCCGGTTCCGATAAGCGCCCTCCCTTTCTATCAGAAGGTGCTGTTTTTAAATTTTAGCTTTGCCACGAAACCTTCATCCAAAATTTCCATGTAGCATGTACAAACCAGAAATCGAAATGCTCATAACTATTGTAGCTAGTCTGATCGAACAACTGGCAATGGTTTGAATACGAGAGAAACAGCTTGTCGTGAAGTGTAATCATACGCCTTCCGAATAAAGGCTCTTGTCGCTAATAGACTACTGACATTCTTGACGTCCCGAGCGAAGACGCGAGTACATGAGTCACTAGCAAGCATAAAAGTTATCCTCAGTTACAACCTGATTCTTCCCTCGCCCGAAAGATCAGAGTTTAAGTCATTTTTGAACTAAAAATCTGATGAAAGACAATGGACCGAAACGTTAATTATTAAAGGTCGACAGTACCAATTGAACGTTGTCCGTATGAAATGTTACATTTGCTACCTCTACAGAGCCAACCCAAGTGCTGTGCTAACTACCTTCTCCCTTTTTTTACTGGTGTTTTCCCTGGCACGCGAATGGTTTCGACTTGTCACGTACCCGAAGCCCCAACTAAAGTCGGAAAGACTTCAGTGATTTCCTAAAAAATGTTCTTAAACTTCTAATTCCTTACCACCAAAAATAGAGTTTCTCTAAATTGGTCTGTGATGTGATTTTATACGTCACTCACAGCTATTTAAAGCAGTCAAATGTCAAATTATCAGGTAATCTAACAACAAAATTGCTGCAAGGTGGACGAAATAAGTAAGCGAAAGAAATGCCACATCATGAGTTATCTGAGCACCACATTTTTTGGCTCCACGCGATTCACTAGAGCTTTTCAGGGTCTTGCGGGTACAATTCTGACATACAGGTCCACGATAAGGTATTCTATAGGGAGCGCAGCTATCGCTCTCCGTTGACCACGGATCTTTGTCATCTTTGCAGAAAGGATTGAAGTCGCCAATGACTTGGTTGAATATACCATTGACTTCATCTGATTGATCACATAACGTTTGCCAAGACAATGCTACACACACTTTGGCCTTGGCACGTATCCTACAAGAATATAAATGAAAATTAGGACTGTTTGTAGAAAAAAGCATATGTGATAAGTTTCGCGGCTGCGATATCAGTTTTTTTTCTCTTCAGTGCGAGAGAGATAAATTTCAAGATTTCATTTACATTTTTTACATGTTGATCCTTATAATGATTAACTGCTGTGTTAGCTCATGGCAACGGAGGATCAAATTTCTCGAACGTTTTTGAAACATTAATAATGCACTCGTCAGGCATTTGTTTGTACAATGCATCTTCGTATCTTATTTCTGGGATCAAGTTGTAAACTGGAGCTTCACCTATATCATTTGCTTCGAATAATTTTAATGATGAAAGTATTTTCTTTGGAATTCCAGCCCTCAGGCTGTCAAAAAGTGTATATCAAATTTTGCATACCATAATCCTAAATGGGTAAACAAACGATTTATGAAAGCAAACTGACTTAACAATTTAACAACAACAATTTAACAACACCAACATTACGTGTTTTTCTTCTGATCCAAAATGAGAGATCTGATATCCGTAGGGTATCAAATAGCTAATAAGAGATGTTAAATTTATATCTTTTACGAGAAGTGGAACTACATAAATATTTAATAAACATTCGATCACAGTTTGTTGATATGCCTGGCAACGTTTTAAACATATTCAAAATAATGATCTTGATGTCACTAACTTTCAGTAATATAATATTCGTCCTATGTTGGATTGTAAGTTGTATGATAACTGTATGATTTTATAAGTTGTATGATTACTGATCCAGATCTTCATACACATGCAGCTGCAATAAACGAATCGATGTATAAGTTGTACCTGCACAGAGAGGTTTTCGACACGCCTGACTGAAAAAGGTTTGAGAACTCTCTAATGCACTGGTCTACTTTCTGCTTGTGTGACGAAGAACACGGTGATAGGGAGAACATAAGAGGTATTTCCAGGTCTAAACCATTGCAGTAAAGTGTCTGAAACTCTCTAATATTGCCAACTTCTAATGGTTTTGAAGTACTTTCACAGGTGACAGCCGTCTGTAAGGAGCGGTAGTATAACATCCAAAACTGGAGCCTTTTAAAACCAAAAGTTAAGCTCATCATGAAATATTTTAGCTGATACAATGATAATGGCAAGGATAATTTTAATGACAATCTGGAGTTTTTTACTCCCGATTGTCAAAAAAATTATCTTTGCCTTGGTGATCATTTCCTTTATTCTCATGTCCATGATATTGTTAGTAGAAATTAAAAGCAAGACGCTCCAAGGACTTGAAGGATTAAGGTGAAAGTACGTAAACGTGTATGGAATTGATCTCCTTTTGCTTAAATGATGGGATATAAGAGGAAAATAGTAGTTATTTAAACCAATCACCATCAGGAAACTGTCATCATATAACGCGATAAACGACGTAGTGTACGTAAATGGGAGCGGGTCAGTAAGTCTGAACATTCCCTCTACGACACCTATAATCTAAGATTGAGGAATTAAAGTGTCTATACGGCCAACAGGGTTTTTATGGTTTTGGTATGTATTTAACATGAAGAAAAGTATTCTTAAATAAAAATTGGATTCTGACGAGTCTTCGCCCTGAAAACGAGCTTTAAACTTCCCGCTTTGGCCACGCCCATTGAAGGTAACCGTGAGTGGGGGAAAAAATGAGATTGGGTTCAGAATGGGTCGTGACGTCAATTCAGGAACGCGCCAAATCCAGCCAGTGGTTCATTTCACTGTTTTTTTCGGTAAGGTAAAGAGTTTTCGGCGACATAAATATGCCCGATAGATGTGTTGTAGAAGTACTGCGTTTGTCAAGCAAAGTAACAACACGACACTCGAAATGCTCCTGGAGTGACGTCACTCATCACCAATCTTCTCTTACGCGGTCAACTTCATTGGGCGTGGTCGAAGCGGGAACTTTAAAGCTCGATTTTAGAGTGAAGAGGCATCAGAATCAAATTTTTTTTTGAGAATACTTTTTTACAGGTGAAAGATATACCAAAACACTAAAAACCCTGTTAGCCGCATAGACACTTTGAGGACATTTGACCCCATAGACACTTTGACGACCTCTATAAATGTATACTATTATGGATCTAGACATGGCTAATCATCAAGAAAACGTACGTAGTTCTTTACCATTTTATGGGTTAACTGATAGAGAATTTTATGCTATGGTTGGTAGCTGGCCGGATGGGCACCATGATGATCTTGACTTCTACGATCTCCTCCCTAATCCAAATAAATTCGACGAATGCGACCCAGATTTAATGTTAAATACCCCTTGCTGAGTCCGCAGTTTTAATAAAATGCTAGCTAAAACAGACGCCAAATATTTTTCAATTCTTCACTGCAATATTAGAAGTCTTTCTAAAAACCTAAATTTATTGGAAGAACTCTTATACTCCATTGATACCAAAGTGGATATTCTTGGAATTACAGAAACCAAATTGGGTGAGAACTCTGTTAGTAATGTAAATATCAACGGCTATAATTTATTTCACACAGACTCTCCAACAAAGGCGGGTGGAGCCGCTCTGTATATCGCTAATAATCTTAAAGCAGTACCTAGGCCTGATATTAAATTTGATATAACACTAGTTGAATCATGCTGGGCAGAAATTGATGCTGGCAAAGGTAAAAAGAAGATTATAATAGGCTGTATCTACAAGCATCCTACTTGTGATCTTCTT